TCGTCTATACTCTAATAAAAAGTTCCCCAGACCAAAGAGGTCACCTTAATACCAAAAAAAAAAAAAAAAAAAAAAAATGAATTGATTATTAATTAATTATACTTTATTGTTCTTATATTATTTACATGGTTTATTATTTGTATAGTTCTAATAATAATTTTTAATTAATGATTAAAATGGGCTTTAATGTATAGCAATAGAATGTTTTTCGCTATTATTAATAACTAGCTTGTTATATAATGGCAAGAATTTTTTTTATATAATAAAGATATTTATTACAAATATGTACATACTAAAGTGGTAAAAATCAGATGCAAATTACAAATAAGCTATGTATGTATGACACTAATTTACCTAATATACACAATAATAATGATTATATTACATAATTACTGCTATCACTATTACGTACTACATATGTAGCATTAGTTGTGTAGTTGATTAATATAGCCAACCAGTTAATTAACAACTAGTTGACAACTAACAATTAACCATAGTTGAACTAGTTGATTATTAATCAGTTAGTTGATTAAAAAATTTTCTAACCGGTTAGTTGGAAAGTTGTCAACTATTCAGTTTTCCAACTAATGATTTGGAACACTACTTCATGTATTTTGGTATTATTTTTTGATATAGATGCCATTCAGATACAGGTATATTAAATCCTGGGTTTATTGTAGTTACCAAGTTATTAAATATTATACAACCTCCCTTATCTTCTTTATGCATTTTTTGGTTCCCTATTCCATGTACATGAACACTACCATGTAGTGTTCCAAATTGTTAGTTGAAAAACCAAATAGTTGATAACTTTCCAACTAACTAGTTAGAAAATTTTTTAATCAACTAATCAACTAATTATTCAATTAATATAATTACGAGATATTCTACTTATTTAGAATAATTTAAAATGATTTTTGGAATTTGATTGGCTAATATCCAAAAAAATCACATGATATATGTAACCAGTTAGTTGCCAACTAACTAGTTGGTAAAATTTTAACAATTTGAAACACTACTGCCATGATACTGCCATTTGAATCTATACCACCAATCTTCTAACTTCCATTAGTCTTTTAAACTCTTTTCAAAAAAAATCTCAAATCTTTTGTTAAAAAACCAACTTGTGATATGAGGATTATTAATAATATTCTGACTGCATTGTTTAGCTAAGTCAATTTTTTTTTTATAACCTCTACTTGTTTTTATGAGTTTATAGAGCTCTGGCCAATGCACTAAATATAAAAAAAAATTAATTCTTGCAAACCTATCTGTTTGATCATGTCAGATAGTTCACAGCTCTGTGCTGTTCAAAACTGTCTAGATCCATGCAGACTTTCCTCATATCTCATAATTCAATTGGACATGTATATATTGCTATTAGCTATTACACTTTGTATCTTTTCAACAGTAAGCTAATTATTGGCTAAATTTTGTTTAACAAATATACTTTCCTCTTGTAATGCTCTCTATCGCAATTGAGAATTTAATGCAAAATAATGCTACCAGTTATGGCAATGTTGTCACTTGGACAATACTCAGACAGAGTTTGACACTAAATAATACTAAATAGGGCAAGATTTTATTATTGTGACCTGCCTTCAATTATTAAGTAAAGGTGTTCAGAATTGATTTTTGCATATATAAGTGTATTTTTAAGATTAGATTTGTAAGTCAGATAAGATTCGGACAGTTTACCAGACAGTTCAAAAAGACTTGAATAGTGTTCCAAATCATTAGTTGAAAAACTAGATAGTTGACAACTTTCCAACTAACCAGTTAGAAAATTTTTTAATCAACTAACCAACTAATCATTCAATTAATATAATTCTGAGATATTCTGCTTATTTGGAATAATTTGGAATAATTTCTTGGATTTGATTGGCTAATATCCAAAAATATCACGTGATATATATAACCAGTTAGTTGTCAACTATAGTTGGCAACTAACCGGTTAGTAAAATTTTAACAATTTGAAACACTAGGCTTGAACATCCAAAATATACAATACTGGATTATAGTACACAAATCTCCCATCTTTGTATTAAAGAAGATGTTTAAAATTTTTAGCTAGTTTAACTTCTTTAATACATTTGGAACAGAGATCTGCACAGCCAGTTGGATAAAGAGTTGGAAATGCTTGTACAATGTAATCTGGTGTTTGAAATTTGTTAACAGGGTTACTGCAATTTGTGGCCATTCTACTGGTCGAACTTTGCTGTTGACATGTTCAATAGCATTATTGATAAAAACATCTTCTTTATGTACTGATAGCAATGAAGAAACAAATGTATGTATAACTATATTATTTTCATCTTTACAAGATAAATCATTATTATTTTGAACTTGTGTAATTTGTTTGTTAACACTGCTATTTTCAGGCAAGAATAAAAGAGTTTCATGATCAATAACAATATCCATATAATATCTATTATTTTCTTTTAATCATTGCAATGCTTGAGTGGCAAATGTTAAAGTCTTTAAATGCTGTGGGATCTTTGAAAGATTTTTGATGCACAATAAGTATGTAGATGGTAAGAAAACTCTTGAATATTTAATTATATTTCTCTATAACTGTATTGTCCTCTATGAAGCTAATACACAAACATTACTGTAAAAATTTGTAATATTAGCATCTTTTCAATTTCTGTGAGATCTTGCAATTCTTCAGACATTTTATTAGGATTTATATTATTTTTATTTGAGAATTTTTTAGGCATCATTTTTTTTATTATAACACCAATAATATTCACTATTTATAGGCACTACTGATAGAAAGCATTTGTTATACACAAAACAATGAGCATGTTTCAATTTACCCAAAACTTTCACAAGAGCTTTTCTTTGACTTTACAAATATTACTGGCTGGACTATTTCCTCATTCATATTTTTTTTTTTTTTTTATTGAATTTGGCAATCTTGCCTTCACTTTATTAGACTTTGTAATAATTATCTAAACTATTAAAATTTTTTACAGAGCTATACTCTATAGTACCTAAATTACAAGTGGAGACTTACCCGGTTGCTCACTGAGTATCTATGTGCGACCTGCTATAGTAAGATTCGCCTCTGTATTATCTTATTCTGCAATTGGCTTCGATAATACATCATTAGCTGGATCTTATCACCCGTCAAGACTACATATTAGTTTTCCACCAATC